CTCTTTTGTGCCAAAATTCATGGTACAGCGTTGTGTCTTTCAGGCATGACATAAGTCTGTGACCCTGAGTATGAATTCCAGATAAGCCCTCATTACGTTTGGGTTTTGTAAGCACCATACCTTTTCACTAAAGTCGTTAGCTAACACCTCAAAATACTGTTCATGGCAGTTTTCACCACCCCACCTCACCCTTTTTAACCCATGTAACACATGCATGCACAGCTCACTCACTCACTCACTGACAAGCCTGGTGGTTTGTGTGTCTCAGTGGCAAGTTACATACTTTTCATGTGTTAGGGCGCTCTTTGTGTAGCCTCATGGTTAAGCATCCGTTCCTAATGCTGAAGATCCGGGTTTGATTACCCACATGGCTACAATGTGTGAACGCCATTTCTGGTGTCCCCTCCGTGATATTGCTATAATATTGCTAATAATACCACTCACCCACTCACTCACGGTTCCAAGCCAAACATATTCCCAGCAATCCCAGATTCTATATTTGTAAGCACCATCATGTACTGTGCTCCTCCGTTTATAAGATATTTTGGTATAACAACCTGTGCCTTGTTGCTCCTTTGTTTTCTGCTTGAATGATGAAGCCTGCCCCTAAGGGAGGTTGTTGGTGAAGAGAACATCCTCAGGCTAGCAGGACCAGCCAGAAGCCATCAATGCTTCTAGACATGTCTGGCAAGCCAACTCCTACATACTGTATGTGTGTGTATGGCCTTGGCCAAACAAGCCACTGATGTATTTAATAGCACATCTTCTATTCATGATGGCCACAAGAGAAGCAGTTAGGTGACTGCTGTATTCAAAGCCTGAGTTAAAATCAACTCATTTCTTTAGGCAATGGAATCAGTATTCGGCATTTTAGTCTTCATGTAACATGAAAAGAGGCCAGAAGGAGAGTCAAGCCTCCCAGGACGTAATATAGTCATAATTCTGTTTGTTGCTTCCTACAAAGTCTTTTATAGATATGTTGTATTGATCACACAGTTCTCCCAACAGCTAATACGTTTCCATGTTCCTAACAAATGAGTTGGTTGCGCCAGTATGACGTACAGTTGTTGCATCAATAATGTTGAGCTTTTTTATCTGTCTCATATTTTCACATTCTCATGTTGTTTTGTTGCCCTTGCTATAGTGGAAGAATATCAAGAAGAATCTAGTCTGTGAAGCCTATTGAAACATATAAGTGTGTTTAAAAGATTTGTCTCCTCTGATCCATGCATGAAGGTTTTCTGGAAATATGATTTTGATGTAAACATTGTTTCATGGGTTGAAACCAATAGTTTCACATTTGTAGGATGTCACAATTATCTATAAAGTACATATGTTTCAAAATATAGAATGAAATTCCTTGTCCGAACCATAATACTAAAAGTGCTGAATGTTAAAATACAGATGGTTTCTATACTCAAAAGAGAGCCCAGAATCACCTTAAAGACAAACACTGATGTGGTATCAAGTTCAATCTACATGCATTTTCTACATTTACATCGGTAAGATGAAATGTTACTGTATTAGGCCTGTTTGGGTGTCAAATATTGAAAGAAAAAACTATGGATAATTGAAATTACACAAAGTACTGTGTCCTCAAAGAAAATTGAAGATTTTACTCTTCAAAAGTCAATTGTTTGTCAACTGTCAAGATCATTTGTCAGAGCGAGCCCAATAACCCTTGAGTACCATTGGAAGATTATTATCTGATTTCCAGTATGAGACGCCCCCCCCCCACCTCATTAGACAGACATGTAGGTCAGCTTTCTTCATTAAAAAGCATTGTACTTAAACATGTCAAGATCAGCCCCTGAACTTCATACACCTCCCTTATAATTATTTCCGTTGGCATTTAATTGTCCCCACCTCTTTGTTTTTATAAATAGCCCAGCCTTAAAAAGAAGGAGAGGAATGTTTGATCTACAAGAGAATACTTATGTAATATGGTTTTTTATGGACCTAAGAGCAAAGAACCTTCTTTCATCCTTCATTTTGGAGACAAAGTTGAATGGTTCCTGTCTGCCAAATTTGGTAGTTGTAAACAACACAGACATCAAACAGGAAGGTTTTAATTAGAGACAAGGGGGGTGTTTGTTGTGGTGGAAAATGACATAATGTGAGTGTATGGTACAGAAAGACATCAGCGATTTATTAAGCACAGCTAAACACCTTGGTTCAATTATATTCTTCTGATATATTCTGAAAACGTAATGGATTGAACGTTGTCTCTTTGGCTGGTTGCACAAAATGAACCCTGCAGTTGTCACATGGCAGTTGAGTTAACAGCATTGATACCAGATGAATGCTCAGCTGTTTGTGTTGAGGACAGTCTCAGATAACAAAGGCTTGTAGATCTGATACCTTGGTTGCAGGTTATGTCAATGACAATGGGGCTCAGATTTAATCAGAGCATTCTTTTAAGTGTATTGAAAGGAATTAATTTTTAAGAGTATCATTATTATGGATAACAAGCATTTATTATGCTTATGTTTATGCATTACAGGGAAGCTGTTATCTATAACACAGTCCCATCTTGTCATGATTGCATCCAGGGCCTATAAACGCTCCCTCTATCACAGCGATCATGCTTCATGTTTCTCAGTGAAACGTTTCGTTTCTGTGAGCCACCCTCTCTGCTCTCAACTTTGGCAGTTATTGATATAGTGTCAGAATGAAATACATGGATACTGTACATGAATCTTGTTACCATACTGTCCTTGCTGCTACATTGAGACAATACCTTTCATACTGCCCTTTCACATCATACAGAGCTCTTTACACAGCCGTTTGACACCACTGGTCATGGCGGGATTGACGGCATAGGTTTACATCACGACCTGTGTCTCCTTCCACTCTGATAAACAGCTGATAAACAACTAGAACACAATCAGAAGGAGTATTATACCTTTTATCTTACCACACACATAAATTTCGCTTTCTGATTTGCTGAGCACTCTTCTATTACCTACTCTTGACTATCTTCAGAAACAAACGTAAGCTTATTCCAAGTCACATCAATACAATGTGCTTCATGATAAGAGAACAGTTTATGTGTGATAGGTGATGGAAAATGTACTTTTTACAGCTGAGTTGGTTTAATGGTGGTTGAATACTGCAGAGCTTCATTGATATTTGTTGTTTTCATGACATATCTAACATGAAAATTACTGATATTCTTTTTGCAAGAAATTAGACCAATTTTCATGTGACTGAAATAAGTTTTAATTGACTGCGTCTATTTTGAAACATAGCAAGACTTTTGCATACTAGATAGTTCTCATCTGATTTTTTATGAAAAAATGGCTAGATAGTTTTTATGTTTTGTGTGATTCGAAGTCTATTTTTGTAAAAATCAATCCTTATCTGATGTTTGCATACTTCTCTTTCAAACAGACGAATCTCTTTGTGTATTTCAATCATCTAATTATGCATATTATGACAGACATACACTTATCTGTGTTTGTGCAGACAAATTTTGGATGATAAAAAAGAAAAAAATAATTTGTTTATTTAGGAATATTACAGAAGATATTTCACCAAGATCACTTTGTGATTGTATTTGTATGAGCATAGCTTGATATCACTGGTATATTTGCCTGCAAGTATGTCTAGCACCTGAACATAGATTTGTCTATCTTGCAATGTAAACATCCAACAGTCAGTGTCAAAAAACAACAAGTTGTTAACCCTACAGAGTGCACATCAGTGGCAGTTGAGAAGTTTGAAGGAGGCAGTGTTTGATGCTCAGGGCTCAGGTGAATTGTACCAGGCAACTGTTTGCTGGCACCAACTCATATCGGTAGATTTGGAACCTGTTTTCCTATTGATATTGTTTATGAGATTCTTTGACAAAGAATTGTGGAATTACGTAAAACATGAAATTTCACATTCCACACTGACATTTCCATGTATACATCCATGTTTTTATTGGTAATTAATGCAAAATGTTTGTGGGAGAATTTATGGAATTCTGTCTGATCATGTTTATGTGGAAAAGCACACACTTAAATCCATCTGTAGGATACATTTGTTGGCTGTTATGGTTCTGAAAACGTGATCATGAATACAATATCTTCGTGTTAAGTTGCAAAGATCTGCCTTTTCCTTGAATTGGATAGGTTTGAAATGCTACGAATCTGCTGGCTATGTACAGCATGGCGTTCTCAGAAGAGTTCTTGTTCAGAATTGTTTTAGCCACTTTAACAAAACCTTTCTGTGTTTGGCCGCTGTTAATGTCTCAGTGAAGATCATCCCACCTGCCCTGTATAGAAACTACAACATGGTGACCCATGGCATGATGATACACAATCAGCCTCTTGTAGTAAATACCCAGCCCCTAGTTCAGCTGTGTTGGAAATACAGAATGGAAAGTCAAAGGATCTTTGTCAGTAACCAAATCTAAATATTTTCGTTTTAGGGTATAGGTTTTATCAAAAAAACAACTGTAAAAATCTCCAGGTACCCTTGTACACTGGCAGGTTGTCTCAGTGCTCACCACAGCCGACCTATCCCAGATTGTTCATGTAGATGTGACAGGCTAGGGACTGTGTGAATGGTATGTGAAAGTGGTGAAAGTTCCTCCATCCTAGCCATGGTCACACAGGCTTATCTGTTGTTTTGTGTAATAAACACTACAAAGATGCCATATTTGATTTAAAATTAACTTCTCTTTAAAGTTTTGATGTGAGTTTACTGACATATATCTATATGTCTCAGTTATGAAATACTGATAGTGTCAGATTGGACTTGCTGACAAAAGTGTGTCCATGAACATATATGATTGTAGTTTCATGTTTTTTGGCAAAGTGACTACATAGCTCATCATAAATTTGTCCCATCGCAAGGGCCACCTTACAGAGCCAGGCGTAAGTTGGTCAAGTGGAATAAGCTGTAATGGCACCCAAACTAAACTGTTCATTAGATGCTTGATTGGAAAGAAGATGTAACCCAGAAAAAATCTCTATGTTCATTAAACTGTTCATGTTCTGATGTTGTTGCAGGCAGAGCTGGACAAGTTGAAGCTACTGCATAACAGCAAGTTGACAGAACATCAGGTTGAGATGAAGACCCGCCTGGAACAACTGTCCACCGAGCTGGACAAGAAGTGGACAGACACCTTGAGGTAAGCTGGGGTATAACGTACTGTGTCACACATATACTGGCCACCGAGCTGGACAAGAAGTAGACAGACACCTTGAGGTAAGCTGGGGTATAATGTACTGTGTCACATATATACTGGCCACTGAGCTGGACAACAGGTAGCCACCTTGAGGTAAGCTGGGGGTATAAGCTGTGTCACATATAACAGGTAGAAGAAGACACCTTGAGGTAAGCTGGGTATATAATGTACTGTGTCACATATATACTGGCCACTGAGCTGGACAAGAAGTAGACAGACACCTTGAGGTAAGCTGGGGTACCAGTACTGTGTCACACATATACTGGCCACTGAGCTGGACAACAAGTAGACAGACACCTTGAGGTAAGCTTGGGGTATAACGTACTGTGTCACATATATACTGGCCACCGAGCTGGACAAGAAGTAGACAGACACCTTGAGGTAAGCTGGGGTATAACGTACTGTGTCACACATATACTGGCCACCGAGCTGGACAAGAAGTAGACAGACACCTTGAGGTAAGCTTGGGTATAACGTACTCATGTCACATATATGTACTGGCCACTGAGCTGGACAAGAAGTAGACAGACACCTTGAGGTAAGCTGGGGTATAACGTACTGTGTCACACATATACTGGCCACTGAGCTGGACAACAAGTAGACAGACACCTTGAGGTAAGCTTGGGTATAAGGTACTCGTGTCACATATATGTACTGGCCACTGAGCTGGACAAGAAGTAGACAGACACCTTGAGGTAAGCTTTGGTATAACGTACTGTGTCACATATATACTGGTCACTGAGCTGAACAAGAAGTAGACAGGCACCTTGAGGTAAGCTGGGGTATAACGTACTGTGTCACATATATACTGGCCACCGAGCTGGACAACAGGTAGACAGACACCTTGAGGTAAGCTGGGGTATAATGACTGTGTCACACATATATACTGGCCACTGAGCTGGACAACAGGTAGACAGACACCTTGAGGTAAGCTGGGGTATAATGTACTGTGTCACATATATATACTGGCCACTGAGCTGGACAAGAAGTAGGCAGACACCTTGAGGTAAGCTGGGGTATAATGTACTGTGTCACATATATACTGGCCACTGAGCTGGACAACAAGTAGACAGACACCTTGAGGTAAGCTGGGGTATAATGTACTGTGTCACATATATACTGGCCACTGAGCTGGACAACAAGTAGACAGACACCTTGAGGTAAGCTGGGGTATAATGTACTGTGTCACATATATACTGGCCACTGAGCTGGACAAGAAGTAGACAGACACCTTGAGGTAAGCTTGGGGTATAATGTACTCACACATATAACTGGCCACTGAGCTGGACAATATATACTGGCCAGCTGGGGAGCTGTGTCCACATATATACTGGCCACTGAGGCTGGACAACAACAGACAGACACCTTGAGGTAAGCTGGGGTATAATGTACTGTGTCACATATATACTGGCCACTGAGCTGGACAACAAGTAGACAGACACCTTGAGGTAAGCTGGGGTATAATGTACTGTGTCACATATATACTGGCCACTGAGCTGGACAAGAAGTAGACAGACACCTTGAGGTAAGCTGGGGGTATAATGTACTGTGTCACACATATATACTGGCCACTGAGCTGGACAAAGAAGTAGACAGACACCTTGAGGTAAGCTGGGGTATAATGTACTGTGTCACATATATACTGGCCACTGAGCTGGACAACAAGTAGACAGACAGACACCTTGAGGTAAGCTGGGGTATAATGTACTGTGTCACATATATACTGGCCACTGAGCTGGACAAGAAGTAGACAGACACCTTGAAGGTAAGCTGGGGTATATGTAATGTCACATATATACTGGCCACTGGCTGGACAAGAAGAGGCAGGACACCTTGGAGGTAAGCTGGGTATAACGCTAGATTCAGTGTCTCATATATACTGGCCACTGAGCTGGACAAGAAGACAGACAGAGACACCTTTGAAGTAAGTGGGGTATAATGTACTGCATACTGTCACATATATACTGGCCACTGAGCTGGACAAGAAGACACAGACACAGACTTGAGGTGAGAGCTGGGGTATAATGTACTGTGTCACATATATACTGGCCACTGAGCTGGACAAGAAGTAGGCAGACACCTTGAGGTAAGCTGGGGTATAACGTACTCGTGTCACATATATATACTGGCCACTGAGCTGGACAACAGGTAGACAGACACCTTGAGGTAAGCTTGGGTATAATGTACTATGTCACATATATACTGGCCACTGAGCTGGACAAGAAGTAGGCAGACACCTTGAGGTAAGCTGGGGTATAATGTACTGTGTCACACATATACTGGCCACCAAGCTGGACAAGAAGTAGGCAGACACCTTGAGGTAAGCTGGGGTATAATGTACTGTGTCACACATATACTGGCCACCGAGCTGGACAAGAAGTAGGCAGACACCTTGAGGTAAGTTCCGGCACAGAAGGACTGTCAAACATATTCACTCTCTGTGCAGAACTACTGAACCGCAACTCAGGATTTCATTTCATTGCTGTGTTGGGCCAAGCAAATTATTTTTAAAATCAGGCCAGAGCATGTTTCTCTTGTTGTCAAGATGAAGTTATTGTTGTATTTATATCAAATTTCTATACAATATGTTCATAATCATAGATGGTTTACAATATGTGCAAAGATGGTTTCTTATATCAACAGTAGAGGACTCCTGTTGACTTAGTGAACTCCAATGGATGCAGTCATACCAGCAAGTCGTATAGGTGTTCATCTTGTTGTAGGATGGAGTGTAAGAAGCTGAGAGAGGAGCTGGTGGAGCAGAAGGAAGATGAGAAGAAGTCTGCTCTGGCTGAGCTGACCAGGCTGAAAGATGATGAGCTGGTCACCATGCGGTCAGCCCTGGACACCAAGATATCGGACCTACAGAAGCAGGTGAGGTCAAAAGCCCAGGGTGCAGGCAGAGTGAAGAAGCTTTTCAACAGGTTTTCAACATTTTTACCATTTACAAACTGCAGATAGCACTTTTTAAAAGGACCAACCTTTGGGAAATAGGAGGTTACAAAGTGCTGATGGCTGATTGTAAACTCACAGGGTGAGGTGGTTGTTCATGCTATCAACAGGTTGTTTGTCTGGCTCCAACTCTTTAATTTGATACAGGCCACTAGGATACAGTCTGCAAACTCATTTTCACTCATCCACCCAGCATGGCAGTCTGATGATCATATTTCAGTGACTTCTTGTTCCTGATTTCAGATCGCGCTGCTTGTGCAGAGTGTTCAGCAGTCTGAGTCCAAGTCCAACAGTGCCCTAGACGCCATCAAGTCGGAGGCTGATGCTGAGAAGAAGAGGCTGATGCAAGAGATGCTGGATGCTGCTCAAGACTATGCCAGCAAAATAGCAGTCATGGAAGCAGCTCACCAAGACCAGATGCAGAAACTCACCTCCACGATGAACTCCGAGGCAATGGTAAGTCATGCGTTCTTGTGTTGATGTTGATGGGCATCCAAAAGAGTGGGAAATCAGTATGAATTGCCATGTGTTACTTTACTTATTTTAGTGTTAAATCTCTAAAACATTTGATGTTTTAGACGAGGCAACAATACAGTAGCGTCAACAGCTACAGTTAATTAATGGTTGTGTGAAATATTGAGTTTGTTTGTCTAAAAACCAGTTCAGTTGACACTGGGAGGCATGGATGTCCAAGGGGTCTAAGAGGCTGGAATTCGCTATGGAGATTTGTGTATCCAAGATCTCTACTTCCACTGGTCAAAGATTCACTTTGATCCATGTTATATCCATACCTGTGCCATGGGTTTCAGCATAGCGATCAAGTGAGGTTTCTCCTGGTAAAACTGCAATTCCATGACAGTACTGGAAAGGTGTTCAAAACGTTCAGCCTAACTTACTCTTGGTGAAAGTGACCTCTTTTGAAGTCATTTGATTCCCAGATATGAAAGGATGATGAGTAACGCCAGTTCTCACAACCAGCCCCTGTCCTCAGCTAAGGTAGATCAGGCTGGATATCTCCTAATTGATGAAATCACCATTGCCTAGTGTAATAATGTTTATAAACAGTTCTCATGCAGTAGTTATTTCCTGTTTGTGAATCAGGAGACTGCAGAGGCCACCAGTGGGGACTCACTACCTAAGGTTTGGAGGCCAGCATCAGTGTTGCCCAGTAGATTAGTGGGTTGTGAGACAGTAGGCAGATCTGCATCTGATGGATTGATGTTGCATCCTCTCTTACCACTGTGTGCAGTGACCTAGGGATTGACTGCATGAAAGCATGATGATTTTGAATGTGTTAAATGTAAGGGCTATTGATCAAATTCCCAACAATTCACAGTTGCTTTCCACCGAAATGCCACGATCGCCAGGGCCTCATTTCTCAAAGCAATCATAGCGCTAAGGTGATCGCAATTCCCATTCTTAAACATAGACATATGATCAACGTAGCGCTAAGATCAAACAGTGACCTGGTCATGGGTTAATTTATCAATTTCCATTGATACTAACCCTTGGTTTATGGTCATGGCTCATAGGTTCCTCCTTTCCTGGTATATGTAACCCACAGGCCATGGTGTCACTGAAGTACTGCTCAAGTGTTCATCTCTAATCACTCACTGAAAATGTTGATGAAACACAAAGCATGGCTAATGTTTCATCTAGTGTTATTCATATACCTTATTCATAAACCAACAATGGACAACAAGGGTTTATCTTTATTTAAGGATGGAATGTTGACCAGACAGTAATTAGAGAATAAAGGAGGACATGACTTCATGTGACATTACAGTATAATAAACTTGGTAAATCAGCTAATACAACATGTTCTACTTCTAGCTAGATGTTTTATGTATTTCAGGGCTTGATATTTCCTTTTTAGAAATTTGAAAATTTCTTGAGTGTAATAGGAAATGTCACATGAAAGAAAAACCTTCTTGTATTGCGAAATAGTGTATGTGGTGAAAACTTTAAAATACTTGCAACTCAACCCTGTAAGACCATGACAGAACATGTATATTTTCCTCACAATAATTGATCATGTAAGACCATCAAAGCTGTTTCATTATGTAAGCCAAAACATCATACGATGTGTTTCGTCCACCATTGGTTCCAGTGATGGTTGCGTCACAGCCTAGTCTGTCTCATGGCCCCTGAACCACATTATTTTCCCTACTGCCTAGCCCTCTCTGCAGTGCTAAAGCCCTAAATGAAGCAAGTCTAGATTTCCTAAGAATCTCTGGTTTCCCTTGGGTTCCTTTTCAGTTTAATGGTTTTGTTTGTTACTACATTGCATCAAAATGATATATATTCAGAGGTTTAGTGTTAGTCTACATCACAGCCCTGTGAACCTGGAAGAACATACTTATGTCAGCATCAAACGACAGGAGACACTATGCTTAAAACTCAAATAGAAAGCAATATTTGTACTTTAAAAGCAGAGATATTAATCATATATAGCATTGCAATCTGTGAACAAGGGCAAGCAAGTTCTAAACTTGTTAAACGGATATGATGCTGGATAATAACAGATGATGAACAAAATCTTTCAAATTATAAGCGTCCTTACTGATCATTTTCCAGGTGATGAAGGTGAATTAATATTAACAGAATTAGGGGTATAGCACATTGCTATATCGTATTGTTGGACTGATTTGGGTGGTAATTAATATTATTATCTAGTTATTGCTGAAATCTGGGTACTGGTCAACCTTCCTCGGTTTGAAAACCAAAGCATGGTAATGTCTGTGTATGTTCTTTAGAATCATGTAGTTCTAACATTGATGTATGTTTGTTATTCATTTGTTATTTAGTCATAAATTTTTAGCAGAGTTTATTTTGGGAACTAAGCGTGCTAAATGCCAAGAATTATAAATTAAGATTACCTGTACGATCTCAAGAAGAACATTTTTTGTCAAGTTCTCGCAGTGCATATTTCATAAGGTAACAAGCTTGTCAGAATAGTTTGTTTAGTCTTGAATGATTAGCTAGATTGTCCATTTCTGTGTTACATAGCTTTCAGTGGAGTGTCACACAGCGACACATCAGCATGTAGATCTGTGCATGAATAGGTAAAACATTGTTGATTACCAAGTAAATGTGACGTGGCTAATGCAATCCCTGTTTGTGTATAGGTGTGTCTGTGTGTTGAGGAGGAGTATATTGCACTATCAGCTTAATCAGCCATGTGTTTATAACAGTGAGCTGACATGCCAGGGTGATTAGGATGGGATTGAAGAGATGGCGATATCACTGACGAGCTTCAGCTGCAAGAGAGCATAACATTTGACTGACACTCTGCTAATATCATCACAGCAATGTACACACTTCATAACACACCACATGCTGTCTGCTCCCCACACAGGCTGGCTTTGTTCCCGTTACTCCTGGACTATTAGGGATGGAACTCTTCTTAATACACATACCTTGTGTGTCATGCTTCAAACATATTGAGGAAGTCAGCTGGCAGGATTTTTGTATTCATCGCAATTGTAGTCATGTTTCCTACATCATCGCACTGTATGACGTCATCAGTGCAATGTTGCTGCACGTTTAAAAATTGACAGACATAAGTATATGTGCATGTTTTTATTTGTTTACTTAGAAATATGCCCACTATGGTAGATTCATTTGTCCAGATGAAAACGTTTCCACTTTAGTTCAAATTGAATACTGGGAATAGAAACCAACAGACATGCTTCATGTGTTTTACTGGTAATAGCTCTCTCATTCTCTGAAGTGTACCAGGATGTACAGGACACTTCGGTTTGTATGAAGAAGGTGTGTGGGGGTGCAGTGTTTGGCAGGGATCACAGTAAAGGAATCAAGTTCTGTAGCATTGACGTATAAGAATGTTAGAGAAAGAAAAATGGGCACAGACTTCTTTTGACTTTTGAGACCTCTAGAAAATTACAGTTTGGCTGAAAGGTTCTGAATCCAACTGTGAAGGATGTATAGTACATCTGTAACAGTTTGCATGTATCAAGTATAGGACTGTCCATGCTTAAAGGCTGCATTGGAACCACATGAACAACCTCACCAAATATTATTGCAGGCATCAAAGTTGCTAGGTACTGACTGTTGATGAAAATGACAAAAATTGGTTACTGCACTTGTCAAGTATCTCCAGCTGAAAGGTCTAACTCCAGAAGCAATGGATGTTGTCAGAAGGGAAGCCCCCTCAGAGATGACCTAAGATCAGGAAGACTTTCAGCTGTCACCACTAAGGAAGGCAATGGTAAAATGCATAAGATCATGGATGATTAAGGTCTCACCACATGTAACATAGCCTATATAGTAGGCTTTTCTCATGTTTAGAACATGGAGTTAGAATGAACAGGGCATGACTAAGGTTTCAGCATGCTGTTTGGAAGCTCCTGACTCTGGATCAGAAACACTCCAAGTTCACCATCTCTCATAAGAATTTCGAAGCAGACACAGCTGATTTTACAGAGCAATCTGTAACCATGGATAATTCATTGGTTCACCACTGTCAACCAGAGACGAAGAAGTGGAAACATTTACTCTAGAAAAAGTAGCCAAAGTCTGTTCTGTCAGCTGACAAGAAGATGGCTATGTGTTCCTGGGATTCCAAAGGAAACCTACTGGTGGACTACTCCCTCAAAGACTATACATCATGGAAAACTCACTTCAGGTGTGCTGTTCCTCCAGGACAGTTTAGATGTGAACAGAATGATATGGCTACAATGCATGACCTGGTTTCAACTCATTGAACATACTCCATATTCGTCAGATTTCTACCTCATCCTAAACTGAAACAACTGATTGGCAAGCAATATGCAAATAATTTTAGTGTCATTTCAGCTGTAGGAAGTCTCCTATACCAGTCAGATCCATGCAGTCAAGCATGTGTGAACTGTGGAAATGACTATGTTGAAAATTAACTAGCATCCAACTCCACCAATTCAGGCCATCATAGGTAGCCTCAAAATTATGCAGCTACCCCTGATACCTTGTTTTGTTTCAGGAAATTAAGGGAATATGTCATTTTATTTTGAGAACTAGTTTTAGAACTGTTTTTAGAAACATTTTTTTGTATGCATTTTTGATTGACTTTCTATGCAGGCCTCTTAGGGACAGAGGTGCGACATGATGTGATTCTCCTCGTCCAACTTCCTTGTAAATATCAATGTGGTTTTAGCATTCCAGGAAAAAGGGATTGCTTCTCCCTAACCACTTGTGATACAGCTACTGTTCCCAATGTTGGAATATAGAGTAATGTCAAATATCTGAAGGATATCTTCACTGACCAAGACAAATCTATCGGTCATGACAGACAATCTGGTGATGTGGGTTGGGTGGTACTGACTGGTATGTTGGCAAGATAAGCGATCTTGAAGATGTTTTGGGTGATCTGGGTTGGGTGGTACTGACTGGTATGTTGGCAAGATAAGCGATGTTGAAGGAGAGATGTTTTGGGTGATGTGGGTTGGGTGGTACTGACTGGTATGTTGGCAAGATAAGCGATGTTGAAGGAGAGATGTTTTGGGTGATGTGGGTTGGGTGGTACTGACTGGTATGTTGGCAAGATAAGCGATGTTGAAGATGTTTTGGGTGATGTGGGTTGGGTGGTACTGACTGGTATGCTGGCAAGATAAGCGATGTTGAAGGAGAGATGTTTTGGGTGATGTGGGTTGGGTGGTACTGACTGGTATGTTGGCAAGATAAGCGATGTTGAAGGAGAGTTGTTTTGGGTGATCTGGGTTGGGTGGTACTGACTGGTATGTTGGCAAGATAAGCGAAGTTGAAGGAGAGATGTTTTGGGTGATCTGGGTTGGGTGGTACTAACTGGTATGTTGGCAAGATAAGCGATGTTGAAGGAGAGATGTTTTGGGTGATGTGGGTTGGGTGGTACTGACTGGTATGTTGGCAAGATAAGCGAAGTTGAAGGAGAGATGTTTTGGGTGATCTGGGTTGGGTGGTACTAACTGGTATGTTGGCAAGATAAGCGATGTTGAAGGAGAGATGTTTTGGGTGATGTGGGTTGGGTGGTACTGACTGGTATGTTGGCAAGATATGCGATGTTGAAGGAGAGATGTTTTGGGTGATCTGGGTTGGGTGGTACTGACTGGTATGTTGGCAAGATAAGCGATGTTGAAGGAGAGATGTTTTGGGTGATGTGGGTT